TGAGACAACGGGGGGACGGGGAGGGGCTAGGGCGGAAATTGAGGTTTTGGTCTGTATTTGATACGGATGATGTAGCGTTGTTTTTCTTTTGTTTCGCATTTTTGGTGTGTACAACGATATTTAGGGTTTATTGGTGTTGGGTGTGGTGGGCACGTTCGAGTAGAATGATAAAGATGAGGGTGGCGACCAATATTGGATATGAAAAGCACCAGTTTGTTACTTTTTAGTACACTACGTATGAAATAATAGAGAAATTATTTTAAAGTTGTAGCCTGAAACGGCGATTACTCGGCAGAAAAACTCGTATGTGGACCCTGAAACTGAAGAAAATGAAAAAGTCTTATTCTATATAATTATGGTCTATATAATAAAAGTCTTGTTTATATATAGAATAATTATATACAACATGTCATCTATGTAATAATTATCCTTCTGTAAAACATTTTGTAGTCAGAAACCGCGTTTTGGAGTTCCTTGATACCAAAACATGAATTTACGACAAACGTCTGATCGTCTGTATTTTAATTAGTACCCAAGTGGCTTACCCTTGTTTTTCAGAATTGATATTGTTCCGTCGATTTGGCTGATGTCGCAGCCCCTTGAATTTGAATCGGATATATTGATTTAACGACATTATATTTTTTTCTCAAAAATAGCTCCAATTGTTTTCTTTCTTTTCCCTCGAATAGTACATTTATAAAAATTTATATTTTTCCTTTCCCCTGTTTGAATTTTCGAAAATTGCTTAAGTTACAATAAACCTATAATAAAATTACAAAGTATGTCCCGTAACATTGCCTGTATTTGTTTTGTTTCACGTTTTTATTCTATAATGGGAAAGGTGTATATGGGGCTTGTAGTCACAATTTAGGCGATATTAAGGGGAGGGTAGACGAGAGATAGACAAGTTTGGCACGTGTAGTATAGATACAGATGGAAACTTATCGTTGGTTTGTTTTCCCCATTTTTGTTCTATAAGCGATCCTATTTATATTAAGCAATGTTTGGCACGGTGGTGGCAGAGGCAAAGAAAACTGGCGTGAGCCAGTGGCGTGAGCGTTCAAGATAGATCCATGTATTGAAGCAAATTAATACGGACGACACTGGTTTGTTTTTCTACTGATTTCCCTGTTTAGTACTAAGCGAAGAAGTTTTTTTATTCCCAAACAGGTTTTTCTAGTACAACATTTTTGTGTGGATATCTCCGTCCTAAAACGTATTCTTGTTTCTTTGAATAAAATATTTTTTTGACATTTTAATGGTTATGTAATCTCTCGGCCCTGTTCTTTCTCATTCTAAATTATTTTTTCTTAAATTTCAAAGTAAATAAAGTTTTCCAAATGGAAGTAACTATTTGTTAATACACATATATTGACCACATTTCTTCCATCATGAAAGAAAAGACAAATAAAACCACACGCAGAATTTTTTTGATATGTATTACTACTTTATTAGTTTAGCAGGGCTCCTATGCTAATTCATAATAAAAGACGACCTGGATGCCGAGGTGGCTAAGAACGTGTACTGACTCAGCGCTTCGGTCCGAAGGGTCGCAGGTTCGATTCCCACCGTGGGCGTAGTCGTTTTCGCATGTCTCCCTTGTATGTGTTTAATTTCATTAATATTAAATGAAATCACTATCACTGAATATCGTGATGTATTTCAAACTTCGTATCTTGTTTAAGCAACGTTTATGTTGTTCACAGCAACCTGGTTGCTAACAACAACAACATAATAAAACGTAAATACCAAACACTACGAAATATCGTCGTAAATACTAAACAATACCAAACATCTTCGTAAATAGTAAACATTATTAAACATCTTCTTAAAACGTAAATACTAAACATCTTTGTAAATAGTAAACGTTTTAAACATCTTCTTAAGTACTTACAAAACATAACACAATACTAAACATTACTAAACTACTACGTAAATATTAAACATTACTAAACATCTTGGTAAATACTAAACATTACTAAACATTTTCATATATATAAATATTACTAAACATTTTTATAAATACTAAACATTACTAAACATCTTCGTAAATACTGAACATTACTAAACATCTTCGTTAATACTAAACATTACTAAACATTTTCGCAAATGCTACACATTTTCGTAAATACTTAACATTACAAAACAGGCTGTGAGCTAAAGTCAGCCGGTGTGTCGCTGGAGATCCAGCGCCGTGCGCCCAAGCGACTTCGATGACGCGGCGAAGAAAAGCGCAGAGCCAAGTGGATACGGCGGGGCCGAGGAGCGACGCGAGGGGGGGGTAGGCGGTGGCGGCGGAGGCGGCCGGGGCTACGCGCGGTGCATGTGGCGCGGACTGGCTTTGTTAAAGTGTAATAATTCATTCGCCGCTCCGCCCGAGCTCTTGGGTTGGTTGCTTGCTTGCTTGCTTGCTTGCGGCGCCGTGCCGCGATAGACAGACGGCGGGGGGTGGGGGCCGGGGGCTGGAAATCATTTTCGGAGGCTGCTTGCGAGGGCGTGCGGCGCGCGCATTTGTCATGCATTGCGGCTGGCGCTGCGCGATTGTCCTGTGCCAAATTTGTGGCGCCCGTCGCCGCCGCCGCTCCCGACCCCGAAGGCGCTGTCGACGTCGCCTAGCAGCCCCCGGCGGCGGCGGCGGCGGCGCTGCCGACGACGTAGCGTGTGCCACCGCAGAGGACGGCGCCCCCCCCCGCACACTTCATATTCCGCCCCCGCTGTCGACCCCGTCACCGTAACCTGCGCCGTATTCGAATGGTGGCGCCGACGCCAGTGTCACCGCTACTGCTAGCGCCCGTCAGCCCTATAGCATTTTTACCACTGCCACCATTGACTCCGCTCACACCACTTCATGTTCCACCGTCACTGTCGACCGTGACACCAAATCCTGCGCCATATTCCAATGTGGGTGTCACCGCTGGCGCCCTTCTGCCCTGGGGCCACCACTATTTTCATATACCATTTTTACGCCTGCACCAACGCCTCCGCTCACACCGTTTCATATTCCACAGTCGCTGGGCACCTTTTCGACATAAAATCATCGCCACCGAAACCAATGATTCCAACCTCCCCAGTGTCACCACAGCCACTATGATCTCTACTACCACGAATTCACTGTACCACAGCCACCAACGCCTCCATCTACTTCATATTCCACCGTCACCGTCGACACTGTCGCCAAAACCTCCGCCTTTCACTAATGATACCACCAGCGCCAATGTCACCTCCACTGCCGCCGTCACTACCATCGCCACTGTCACCACTCATGCTAACTCCGTTACGGCCTCTCCGCAACCACCAGCTCCATACCCCACCACCCCCGCCGTCTCCGCCGCCCCGCCGCCTGCGTCATATTCCACTGCTGCTCCCATTTCCGCTGTGCAGTCGCCAGAACATCATCACAGCCAGCGCCTCAAACTACTACTCTAACCCCAGTGTCACCGCCGTCGTCAACGCCACTATCACTACTGCTGACGCCGCGCCTGCTGCCGCCACGAGTTCATATACAACCATCGCCTCCTGCACCACTGCCACCATCGACTCCACCACTACCTTGTGCACATTCCGCCGTCACTCACAGCGCCGTTGTGGGCCCTGTCGCCGTAACCTCCGTCATATACCAATGCACCACCAACGCCAATCACCTCCGCCGCCGCTGTCATCACTACTACTTACGCTCATCAGCACTATCACCACCACCAGCGCCATATACCATCCCCATCACCGCCACCAACGTCTACCTCACACTGCCCGCTACCACCCCCGTCATCACCACCTTCTTCACCCGCTCACAGCGCCCCTGTGAACCCTGTGGCCATAATCTATGTCATACACTACTGTCTCAAAAAGTCGTCACTGCCGACGCCAAAATCAACGATCTTCCGCCGACACCACCTACATCATATTCCACCACTGCCTCCAGCTCGCGGAGGACCGTATCGCCACAATGTCATTGCCGCCATCACCAGAACCACTGCTACCATAAGCGCCTGTGTCACCACCGCCGTTTTCACCACCACTGCTTCTGATGCCCCTTCCGCCTCTGCAACGACCACGAGTTCCGCCTAACCCATCACCGCCTACCCCGACTCCCCCATTGTCACCACCTACTACATATTCGACCTCCACAACCACTACCGTCAGCCCTGCCAGAACAACCTCCCTGCAATGTCAATTCACAGCCAACATCATTGCCGC